ACATTAACAGTGGCTGGTGTGTAGATGTCACAGTGATTCTGCAACACTGTTCTCCGCTCGTTGAATCATTTTTTATAAACTGTAAACCTTTCTACTCGCCTCGCGAGTTCGCGTCGCTCATTTTGGTCGGAGTTTACTTGCCGCCGGGTCCTCAGGTTAAAGAGGCCCAACGCATGCTCGCCGACCAGATTCTAAGTGTGGAGCGAGCAAATCCAGATTCGCTGGTTATCGCACTTGGCGACTTTAACAAAGGTAAACTCAGCCACGAACTCCCCAAATACATACAATTCATTAAATGCCCTACCAGAGAAGGGAACACTCTGGATCACTGCTACACTACAGTCAGTAAAGCCTACCACGCTGTCCCCCGAGCAGCACTGGGACACTCTGACCATGCCATGGTCCACCTGATTCCTGCATACAGGCAGAAACAAAAGCTCTGTAAACCTGCTGTGAGGACATCTAAACAGTGGACCAGTGAGGCTGTGGAGGATTTGCGGGCGTGCTTGGACTGTACTGACTGGGATATGTTCACAACTGCTACCAATAGTCTGGATGAACTCAGAGGCTGTGACGTCATACATCAGCTTCTGTGAGGATTGCTGTATTCAAACAAGTACTAGGGTGAACTTCAACAATAACAAGCCCTGGTTCTCAGCAAAGCTCAGAAGGTTGAGGTTGGAGGAGGAAGCGTTTAGGAGTGGGGATAGAGACAGATTCAAGGAGTCGAAGAACAGGTTTAGCAAGGCAGTGAGAGAGGCTAAACGACTGTACTCAGAGAGACTAAAACACCAGTTCTCTGCTAACGACGCTGCTTCTGTCTGGAGAGGGCTCAGGCAGATCACCAACTACAAGCCCAGAGCCCCCCACACCATTAACGACTCCTGCCTGGCCAACGACCTGAACGAGTTCTACTGCAGATTTGAAAGACAATTGGACTGTCCTGAACTACCTCTTCCCACCCAAGAGGCCCCATCCCCCACCCCTACTACAGAGACGACTCTCTCCTTTCAGGAGCGAGAAGTTAATAGACTTTTCAAGAGGCAGAACCCACGCAAAGCAGCTGGGCCGGACTCTGTCTCTCCAGCCACCCTCAGGCACTGCGCTTACCAGCTGTCTCCGGTGTTCACCAACATCTTTAACACCTCCCTGGAGACATGCCATGTACCAGCCTGTCTCAAGTCCTCCACCATCATCCCTGTGCCCAAAAAGCTAAGGCCAACAGGACTAAATGATTATAGACCGGTCGCCCTTACATCTGTGGTAATGAAGTATTTTGAGCGCCTGGTCCTGGCACACCTCAAAGCCATCACAGACCCTCTCCTGGACCCCCTTCAGCTTGCCTACAAAGCCAACAGGTCTGTGGACGACGCAGTTAACATGGCCCTCCACTTCACCCTACAGCATCTGGATTCCCCAGCATCCTACGCCAGGATCCTGTTTGTGGACTTCAGCTCTGCCTTCAACACCATCATCCCTGCCCTGCTTCAGGACAAGCTCTTCCAGCTGAACATGCCCAACTCCACCTGCAGGTGGATCACAGACTTCCTGTCTGACAGGAAGCAGTGCGTTAAGCTGGGAACACAAGTCTCTGACTCCAGGTCCATCAGCACCGGAACTCCTCAGGGCTGCGTCCTTTCCCCACTGCTCTTCTCCCTGTACACCAACAGCTGCACCTCCAATCATCTATCCATCAAACTCTTGAAGTTTGCGGACGACACCACCCTCATTGGGCTGATCTCTGGTGGGGATGAGTCTGACTATAGGTGGGAAGCTGACAACCTGGCGACCTGGTGTAGCCAGAACAACTTAGAGCTAAATGCTCTAAAGACAGTTGAGATGGTTGTGGACTTCAGGAAGAATACAGCCCCACTCATCCCCATCACCCTGTGCGACTTCCCAGTCAAAACTGTGGAGTCCTTCCGCTTCCTGGGCACTATTCTCTCCCGGGACCTCAAGTGGGAACTGAACATCAGCTCCCTCACCAAAAGAGCTCAGAGGATATACTTCCTACGGCAGCTGAAGAAATTCAACCTGCCAAAGACAATGATGGTGCACTTCTATACAGCGATCATTGAATCCATCCTCACCTCCTCCATAACCGTCTGGTACGCTGCTGCCACTGCCAAGGACAAGAGCAGACTGCAGCGTATCATCCACACTGCTGAGAAGGTGATTGCCTGCAATCTACCAACCCTCGAGGACCTGCACACCTCGAGTACCATGAGGCCAGCAAGGAAGATTGTGGCCGATTCCTCCCACCCTGGACACTCTCTGTTCCAGCTACTCCCCTCCGGTAGAAGGCTGCGGTCCATCAGGACCAAAACCTCACACCACAAAAACAGTTTCTTCCCAACCGCTGCTGGCCTCTTCAACAAGGCCAAGGGCTTACACTGACTTTAACATTTTATCTACAAAATAACACCTTGCCATATATACACTGTTACCCTATTTGTATTTTTTGTATTTTTAGACTGTATCTTATAGCTACTTTATATTCAATATTTATTCAAAACTTTACATACTTTAGCCCCTTAGTGTTAGTTAGACTTTGTACCTTTAGTATAGTTTAGACTTGTATACCACTTATTTAAGATTCCTATATGTTGAATGTATGCACCTTCCTGCCAAAGTAAATTCCTTGTCTGTGTGAACTTTCATGGCGAATAAAACCCTTTCTGATTCTGCTAAGCCATGGGGTCGTCTCTGGCAAACCGTGGGGTCGTCTCTGGTAACCCGTGGGGTCGTCTCTTTTAACCCGTAGGGTCGTCTCTGGTAAGCCGTGGGGTCGTCTCTGCTAAGCCGTGGGGTCGTCTCTGCTAAGCCGTGGGGTCGTCTCTGCTAAGCCGTGGGGTCGTCTCTGGCAAGCCGTGGGGTCGTCTCTGGTAAGCCGTGGGGTCGTCTCTTTTAACCCGTGGGGTCGTCTCTGGTAACCTGTGGGGTCGTCTCTGGTAACCTGTGGGGTCGTCTCTGGTAAGCCGTGGGGTCGTCTCTGGTAAGCCGTGGGGTCATCTCTTTTAACCCGTGGGGTCGTCTCTGGTAAGCCGTGGGGTCGTCTCTGGTAACCCGTGGGGTCGTCTCTGGCAAGCCGTGGGGTCGTCTCTGGCAACCCGTTGGGTCGTCTCTGGTAACCCGTGGGGTCGTCTCTGGTAACCCGTGGGGTCGTCTCTTTTAACCCGTGGGGTCTTCTCTGGTAACCCGTGGGGTCGTCTCTGGTAAGCCGTGGGGTCGTCTCTGGTAAGCCGTGGGGTCGTCTCTGGTAAGCCGTGGGGTCGTCTCTGGTAAGCCGTGGGGTCGTCTCTGGTAACCCGTGGGGTCGTCTCTTTTAACCCGTGGGGTCTTCTCTGGTAACCCGTGGGGTCGTCTCTGGTAAGCCGTGGGGTCGTCTCTGGTAACCCGTGGGGTCGTCTCTGGCAAGCCGTGGGGTCGTCTCTGGCAAGCCGTGGGGTCGTCTCTGGTAACCCGTGGGGTCGTCTCTGGTAACCCGTGGGGTCGTCTCTGGTAAGCCGTGGGGTCGTCTCTGGTAAGCCGTGGGGTCGTCTCTGCTAAGCCGTGGGGTCGTCTCTTTTAACCCGTGGGGTCGTCTCTGGCAAGCCGTGGGGTCGTCTCTGGTAACCCGTGGGGTCGTCTCTGGTAACCCGTGGGGTCGTCTCTGGTAAGCGGTGGGGTCGTCTCTGGTAAGCAGATCCTCCGCTCACACAGCTCTAAAAAAAATAGGAACTGGACAAACATCTCAAGCAGATGTTAGACAAAAACACGAACATGTTAGATAATTATTTATATTGATTCCAAACCCGTAACATTTTTATTAGCTGTGAATCTTTCACAGTACAGAAGCGAGGCAGACTCAGCCCTGCTTACCTCTTCCCTCATATCTCACTCTCTTCCCCTCCACCCACTCTCCCACCTCTCTCCCTCACTCCCCTACAAAAGCTCTGTCTGTACAGTGGTCACATTTAGACGCTGCACGAACCCTGAGTTATATTTGTATTCATCTGTCGTCGTGAAAATACAGGAAGTGAAATTGGCTGTGGAGAGGAAAAACCCTGAGGGAGCAGATGCTCTGCTCTGCTCTCTCAGCCCTTACATCGGAGACACAGGCCACGCTCGCCCAACGGGTAATGATTGACCGGGCATGTGGGTTCGCTCGCGTGGGTCTAGGGGCAGTGATCTGCGGTGGCACCGAGGCAGCTGTGATAAAAAAACACACTTTTGCGTTTCCTGTTTTCACTCAAACGGCCCGGCACATGGTCGCTGTGGAAACTCTCCATCAGTTCCACAAATCCTATTCCCACCAACCTCTCCACCAAAAAAAAATCCCCCGTGTAGCCATAACAGACTGTTGGGGCAACGGCTGTTAGCGAGCACCAATGAAGGCCAGCACGGCACACGAGGGGGCGAGGTGTGTAAACACCGCACCAGGTACTCATTTTGAGGCCGAGTTGACATAGGGGAGGGCCCAGGACCGGTTCAGATAAGTTACTGGTGTTGGCCATGAGAGGAATCGAACTCAGGTCACCGTATTTATAGCGCAACGTGCTAACCGTGTGACTACCTCTCCATCACTCTCACACAAACACACACAGGTGTGCAGGCCTGCGCCGTCCACTGCTGGATGAAGACCTCCCCCACGCCTTGTCGGTCACAGGGGTTGTTTGAACATACTTCACCATGTTGGTCAGTGCGGATCGGCGAAGGGGAGGGGTTGTCCAGGCCCGGGTGCAGATATCATTCGCAACCGATGTAAGCCGTGGCATATTAATAGCAATAGCAAGGATATCTCGGAAGGAGTTCTGTGATGAACGCTTCCGTGGCCGTTGGGGGGGGGGGGGGGGGGGGGGAAATTGGACAAAAATACAAACGCAGCTCGTGTTGGGGCACAATTTCTTTTTTGCCGGGGGCATGGGGGTCAGCGGCAGAAGGTGCAAAGCCGCTACAACCATCAGTGGATAGACCATGGGTAGTTAATGACGATGCTGCCCCAGCATTCAGCGCCTTACCCAGGGTGTGCTCCATGTCCTCGTAGCGACGGATCTCGCCCACAAAGCGCCGCTGGAACACGTTCACACCGGCGTTCATCTGCTCGCGTTCACGAGACAATGGCGGGAGGAGGTTGAGGGAGGGGAGGGAGAGGTCAGCAGGGAGAGGCTGAGGTCACCAGAGGTAAGGTCAGGGGGTCAGTGGGAAGTTAAGTTGGGCAAGGTGGTTTAAACAATGGAAATAAAGTTGCAGTGTCAAGAAGAAGTCAAACGAGAAATCTTGAAGATGTTAATAATTTACTGGACCGACTCAAGAGATCACTCTCCACTGATGATAGTCGTGGATGGGAATCGAACTCAGGTTGCTGGGTTCATAGCGCTGTCATCAATCATGAACCACTGCTGGATGAGGGCCTCTCTCCATACCGTGTCGGTAATGGGAGTTGTTTGGCCATACTTTACCATGCCGGTCGGTGCGGGTTTTGGCATTAGTCGGAATTCAAACTCAGGTGGCAGGGTTCAGCGGTGAGCAAAGTGCGTTAACCGCTGCTCCGCCACTCTGCCCCCACGTGAACGCTGTGTATACTGCCCGTGCCATTTGTACGCACAATCAAGACACGGATGCCACGTGTGCTAGAGCGCGTGCCCTTCCCGCCATGCCCATCCGGCGTGTGGGATGTTGCGTTTTCCCACGAATTACAGAAGCTTTCAGCTTCACTGGAGCCCTGCAGCGGCTCCGCGGGAGGCTCGCCCACCACTGATCAATCAACCGCTACGTACAACGGCGGTGTGGCTGGCGAAACGCGTTCCGCCATTTGCGGATCCTGAACTCAACCCGCGCCCCCGCCACCCAACACGTTGCAACGATAAGCCGAGTCATTCCACAAAGTGCCAAGGCAGTGCACATTTTGCTGAACCAGTCCACGCCTTCTGGACTGGCTCCACTCCTTAGAACTTCGTAAATGGGCACCACGGTGGCAAGCTGTTATCTCCCTCGCCAGGTATGCAGGAGGTCGTGGCTTTGATCCTAACCCTGACACCTGTATATTTGGAGCTTGCATGTTCTCCCTGTGGTCACGTGGAATTTTCTCCGGGCCCTCCGGTTTTTCCCTCCATATTTAGAAACATGCGTTTAAGAGTATTTGGCTGATATTAATTTACACACATAAGCCACTTCGTTGCGCTATCATTTGTGGCCAGGTCGCTTATGAAAAAGAGCTACATAGCTCAGTGGGCCTTGTCTGGTAAAATAAATAAAAAAGTTTCGTTTAGTTTTTATTTCCTGAATTCGTATATTCGGACTGGCACTGATCGCACCTTGGGTGAGATTTCTGCCTCAACACTCAGGATGTTGGACGCTGGACGTTGCCTTGCGTTACGTTAAAAGTACGAGAGGGGAACTTCACGTTCCGGTCGCGTAGTTTGTGACGATTGCTTCACCGTCGCGTGAATCACAGCTCTTGCCGGTGTCCACTCTTGTGCCACGGTTGGCTACGTACGGTACGACAGAAGTTCAACATAATACTCTTGATTGGCTACCGATTCACGCAACTCTTTGAGGCACGTTAACTTGACAAACCGTGCGACATCGCATGTTGGCCATTACGCTAGTTAAGTAATGCAATTGTGGACCCGCGTTTTCAACCAGCGACGATGGCAACACGCGAGGCTGTGCACATCGAGGGCTCGTGACAAATTCGACAGGGTGGCGCCGCTATCTCTGGGTTCAAAGTAGTGCAATCGTGCTGGGTCAGCCCACCCAGGTCATCAGTGCACTGATCTGAACAACACCCGAGTCTCCTTGATTCATATTTGTTTTGGTTAGGCCGGCCACACACGAGTTAACGGGAAACGTTGATATTCCAGCAGTGAAGGGTAAATAAATATCGGTGTGTGGGCCGTTTGGGATTTAAACACTTTGTGGGGCCAAATGAAATTCGTGGGTCTATTAAGTTTCTAGAAACAAGGAGATAAGTATTCATAAGCAGACACGGGTTCCACTTTGAAAAACATCCAGAAACATTTTGAAAGATTTGCCCCCCTTGGCCAATCGGGGGAAGGGGTGGGGGAGTCAGAGCGTGAATCATCGATCATGTGAATGTGGAAAGCGTTCCAGACAGTGCTTCCTGATGAAGTGTGATGCCAAGTGGAGGAATGTGTGTGTGTACGTATATCTATGTATGTTGAATTTATTTCGCACCATACGTAACCAACCGCACTAATCGGAGGTGCGGGGGGAAGGACAACAAACGACTCTGTACGTGCGTCCATCACAAACAGCATTGCAGCATGGTGTGAAATGATAGGGGGGGGGGGGGATGATTTCGCTGGCTGACTGTTTTATCGCTGGGACTGAACTTTCAGTGCCATCCCCTGGGGGGGGGGGGGGGGTACATTTAATATTTAAAATTGCCAGTGTTGGGCCTGGTCAGTGTTCCGTGTGGTTGGAGGCTGCTTGGGAATAGCAGGTGCTGTCATCGGGTTGTGACTGGCTGAGAGGCGTGGCCAGGAGATGGAAGCACAGCAACGGATTATTGAATCCATCTGTGCAGAGCTTTGAGTGTCATCCATCCTATCTATGAGTGGTGGATTTTCTCCGGTTTATTCAACACAGAAGACAAACTCTCATTACTGGAATTGGCCAAACATCAGAATGTAGCAGGACTCCTCTTGAAAGGAGTCTTGAGACTCAGTAAGGCTTCCCACGGTAAAATGCACTCCTATTACTGCCAAGATTACAATAAAGGCATTGTCAATGCAATGCGTTCAATTATAATTAATTGAAGATTCTTTGTTAGTGTTACATGAGCCCTACTCATGCCTTACCGGCCATGAGGGTTGTTTGACCATACTTCACCATCCTGGTCAGTGGGAGTTGTTTGACCATACTTCACCACGCTGGTCAGTGGGAGTTGTTTGACCATACTTCACCATGCCGGTCAGTGGGGGTTGTTTGACCCTACTTCACCATCCTGGTCAGTGGGGGTTGTTTGACCATACTTCACCATCCTGGTCAGTGGGCGTTGTTTGACCATACTTCACCATCCTGGTCAGTGGGGGTGGTTTGACCATACTTCACCATCCTGGTCAGTGGGTGGTTTGACCATACTTCACCATCCTAGTCAGTGGGGGTTGTTTGACCATACTTCACCATCCTGGTCAGTGGGAGTTGTTTGACCATACTTCACCATCCTGGTCAGTGAGAGTTGTTTGACCATACTTCACCATCCTGGTCAGTGGGAGTTGATTGACCATACTTCACCATCCTGGTCAGTGGGAGTTGTTTGACCATACTTCACCATGCCGGTCAGTGGGGGTTGTTTGACCATACTTCACCATCCTGGTCAGTGGGGGTTGTTTGACCATACTTCACCATCCTGGTCAGTGGGCGTTGTTTGACCATACTTCACCATCCTGGTCAGTGGGGGTGGTTTGACCATACTTCACCATCCTGGTCAGTGGGTGGTTTGACCATACTTCACCATCCTAGTCAGTGGGGGTTGTTTGACCATACTTCACCATCCTGGTCAGTGGGAGTTGTTTGACCATACTTCACCATCCTGGTCAGTGGGGGTTGTTTGACCATACTTCACCATGCCGGTCTTAGGGGTAGTTTGACCATACTTCACCATCCTGGTCAGTGGGGGTTGTTTGACCATACTTCACCATCCTGGTCAGTGGGAGTTGTTTGACCATACTTCACCATGCCGGTCAGTGGAGTTGGTGAAAGCATTTACATTTTAACCGCCCCCACCCATCTGCCAATATAAGAACTTGCACCTGTGCATGTGTGTGCATGTGTGTGTGTGTACGTGTGTGTGTGTGTGCATGTGTGTGTGCATGTGTGTGTGCATGTGTGTGTGCATGTGCGTGTGTATGTGCGTGTGCATGTGCGTGTGCATGTGTGTGTGCATGTGCGTGTGCATGTGCGTGTGCATGTGCGTGTGCATGTGCGTGTGCATGTGCGTGTGCATGTGCGTGTGGTGGGGAGCGGTAGTGTAGCGGTTAGTGCGCTGCGCTATTAACCTGGCGACCCGGGTTCGATTCCCGCTCACGGCCAACACCAGTGACGATTATCTGAACCGGTCCCGGGCCTCCCCTAGGTCGACTCAGCCTCAAATGAGTACCTGGTGCGGTGTGTAAACATTGCCACTAGGGAGGCAAATGCGGTCGGGCGTGGTGCTGGCCACCCACCCCCTCGTGTACCGTTCCGGCCTTCATAGGTGCTCGCTAACAGCACTTGCCGCTACAGTCTGTTAAGGCTACACGGGGGATCTTTGTGCGTGTGTGTGCATGTGTGTGTGTGCATGTGTGTGTGTGCATGTGTGTGTGTGCATGTGTGTGTGTGTGCGTGCTCGCTAACAGCACTTGCCCCTACAGTCTGTTAAGGCTATACGGGGATCTTTGTGCGTGTGTGTGTGTATGCGCAAGAGGACCGTGGGTGTGTGCACGTGTTTTGGTACACCCGATTACGTGTACACGTCCGTATGAGTGGCGTCACAAAAAGTCAGACCCCCCCCTCAAATATGACGTCACAAAGCTCTGCCCCCCCCCCAAAAATATAAAACATGCTTCAAATCGCTATAAACTATTGTCATTATAGTGCGTATTTAATGTGGCGCTGCACTCTGATGTTGTAGGAGAAAACATTTTTTTAAAAAGTCTATTTAAGTAGAACGTGTTGTCTATATTTATTTAAAGTTGCGCATTTTGATGTGACGTCACATTTCACACATGTCTGACCCCCCCCCCACCCAGGTGCGTGACGTCATTTATGGACGGCCCCTTACGTGTGTGCTTATAAGTGTATGGGTTTGCACGTGTAACCACGTACACTACACATACTTGGGTACACACACGAGGCAGCGGCCCTACGAACCCTTCCGACCTGAGTTCAATTCCCGACCAAGAAAAAAACATCAATGGCAAATATCATAACGATGCCTGGGCTTCCCCTAGGTCGACTCGACCTTAAATGAATACGCATCAGCATTGTATGATACAAAGATGACCATCACCCTCCCCCTCGAGCAGTCCAGGCCTTAATAGGTGCCTGCCAACAGCACTTGCCACAACAAGCTGTGGTGAAACGGCGTATTTTGTGTTTGGTTTGGTCTTGAAGATGCTCACTCAAAACACTTCCCTCAACGGCCCTGGGCTACATGGGGGCGGAGATCTGTCGTCTTCTTTGTGCACTGTGTATCCCCTTGTGTATCTGTTAATTCCCTCCATTTGGGTGTCTGTGTATATATCTGCGGTTCTGTGTTTCCTCTCTCGCTCTTAAATTTAGCTCTTCTGTACCTGATTAAGATTGCTTGTGTTGCAATCGAAACGTCGTATAGTATTAGTATAGTATTGTTATTTTACTGTCTTATTTCTACGTGACTTTACCGAAAAAACCAGAGTGTATCTCCTGCAGTGACGAAAGCACCAACATCTAGTTTAAGAACACACGTTGCCTGCGTGAACACGTGTTTACTAGGGCTGAACGATTTGGGGGACATATCTAATTGCGCATTGTTTTTGACAGATATATGGCGATTTGATTTGCGATTACATTTTGTAAAGTCAAGCTTCAGTTCAATACTAACTGTGGAATAGATTGAGAACATTTGATGGAGCATTACCACGTGATACCATCAGAATATGAACTGCTCTATATATTCTAATGTAAGGATGATAAGTTAAGATATTAATTGCTTCCAACATGTTTTTATTAAAATGTTTGAATTTAAATAGAACAATTGTTAAGTGAAATAAAGTTATAATAATAAAAAAATAAAACAATTCCAATGAGAAAGTAATAGGACTTTAAAATCACAAAAAAATCGCAGCCTTTGCGATTTACTAATCGCATTATTTCAAATTGCGATTTCGATTTGAAATCGATTCATAGTTCAGCCCTAGTGTGTACGAGTTGCCTGTGTGTACACGTTGTGTATGTGAGCACGTGTGTACGCGTTGCCTGTGTGTACACGTTGTGTATGTGAGCACGTGTGTACGCGTTGTCTGTGTGTACACGTTGTGTATGTGAGCACGTGTGTACGCGTTGTCTGTGTGTACACGTTGTGTATGCGAGCACGTGTGTACGCGTTGCCTGTGTACACGTTATGTATGTGAGCACGTGTGTACGCGTTGCCTGTGTGTACACGTTATGTATTTGAGCACGTGTGTACGCGTTGCCTGTGTGTACACGTTGTGTATGTGAGCACGTGTGTACGCATTGCCTGTGTGTACACGTTGTGTATGCGAGCACGTGTGTACGCGTTGTCTGTGTGTACACGTTGTGTATGTGAGCACGTGTGTACGCGTTGTGTGAGCACGTGTGTACACAGGAACGTGAGAGTACCGTACATTACATTCGCGTATGTCTCCGCGTGTTTGCGTACAAGTGTCTAGTGTACACTCGTACTGTACACACGTGTTTACACTGTATACACGTGTGTGTGTGGGGAGCGGTAGTGTAGCGATCCGAGTCAGATTCCCGCTCACGCCCAACATCAGCGACGATTATCTGAACCGGTCCTGGGCCTCCCTTATATCGACTCAGCCTCAAATGAGTACCTGGAGCTGTGTGTAAACATCGTTCTTGGGAGACAAAGGCGGCCGGGTGTGGTCTGGACAGTGGACACCCACCTGTGAAGGCTGGCATGGCAACATGCCAGCCTTCACAGGTGCCACACGCAAACAGCTCTTGCCGAACTCATAACACGTGGCTCTGTCTCGTGACCCCCTCTTGCCAGCGAGCCTTCCACACTGCACATGATAGCCTCAAGGTGCACCTAGCCTGGCACAAGCGCCACGGGCGAAGTCACCGACACTTAGTGGCGTGTGTGTGTGGGGAGCGGTGCTGTAGCGGTTAGCGCTACGCTGCCCTATGAACCCGGCGACCCGGGTTCCATTCCCGCTCATGGCCAACACCGGTGACGATTATCTGAACCGGTCCTGGGCCTCCCCTAGGTCGACTCAGCCTCAAATGAGTACCTGGTGCGATGTGCAGTAAACATCGCGACTGGGGAGACAAAGGCGGCCGTGCGTGTTGTTGACTGCCCACCGCCTCGTGTGCCGTGCCGGCCTTCATAGGTGCTGCTACTCGCTAAGGGCTAGCCCTTACAGTCTGTTACAGGCTATAGGGGGTCTTTGTCTTTGTATCCGGGTGTGTCTGTACACGTGTGTGTCTGTACGAGTGTGTGTCTGTACGAGTGTGTGTCTGTACGAGTGTGTGTCTGTACGAGTGTGTGTCTGTACGAGTGTGTGTCTGTACGAGTGTGTGTCTGTACGAGTGTGTGTCTGTACGAGTGTGTGTGTGTGTGTACACGTGTGTGTGTGTGTGCACACGTGTGTGTGTGTACTCACGTCTCTGAACTCGCAGAGGCCGCGTTCTCCGAGCTCGCTCACGCACGCGAAGGCGGACGCGCTGGGCAGGAAGATGTGCATGAGGCTCATACTCTCGCTGCGGAATAACGCGCCCATGGTGGTAGCCTTCTGTCCCAGAGACCCCTCTCAAACAACCCCAAGATCCCCTCTCAAACAACCACAAGATCCCCTCTCAAACAACCCCAAGATCCCCTCTCAAACAACCACAAGATCCCCTCTCAAACAACCCCAAGATCCCCTCTCAAACAACCCCAAGATCCCCTCTCAAACAACCCCAAGATCCCCTCTCAAACAACCCCAAGATCCCCTCTCAAACAACCCCAAGATCCCCTCTCAAACAACCACAAGATCCCCTCTCAAACAACCCCAAGATCCCCTCTCAAACAACCACAAGATCCCCTCTCAAACAGCCCCAAGATCCCCTCTCAAACAACCACAAGATCCCCTCTCAAACAACCCTAAGAGATCCCCTCTCAAACAACCCCAAGATCCCCTCTCAAACAACCCCAAGATCCCCTCTCAAACAACCCCAAGATCCCCTCTCAAACAACCACAAGATCCCCTCTCAAACAGCCCCAAGATCCCCTCTCAAACAACCACAAGATCCCCTCTCAAACAACCCTAAGAGATCCCCTCTCAAACAACCCCAAGATCCCCTCTCAAACAACCCCAAGATCCCCTCTCAAACAACCCCAAGATCCCCTCTCAAACAACCACAAGATCCCCTCTCAAACAACCCTAAGAGATCCCCTCTCAAACAACCCCAAGATCCCCTCTCAAACAACCCTAAGAGATCCCCTCTCAAACAACCCCAAGATCCCCTCTCAAACAACCCCAAGATCCCCTCTCAAACAACAAGATACCCTCTCAAACAACCCTAAGAGATCCCCTCTCAAACAACCCTAAGAGATCCCCTCTCAAACAACCCCAAGATCCCCTCTCAAACAACCCCCAGATCCCCTCTCAAACAACCCCAAGATCCCCTCTCAAACAACCCTAAGAGATCCCCTCTCAAACAACCCCAAGATCCCGCTCTCCCTACTACTCAACTCTTCAGCCCTTCCCCGGACCCCCTCCGACTGCCTGACCGCTTCGCTGTGCCCGGGACCCCCTGGACGCCGCCCGTGTGATGCTCAACGCCGACTCAGCAGAGCCCCTTGGTGGCCCTCTCTGGACAACCTCTCACCCTTTAACCCACGCCCCGGGAAATTCCACAGCGCCGATCGAGCCTCCTCCTCCTCCTCTTGTCCGGCTTCACAATGAATGAACCCCCCGCCCCGACACCGCAGCAACAGCAGCAGCTGTTGCTGTTGTTGTTTTGTTTGACTTGAGAATGTAATTAAACCCCGTTGGTGGATGGAGGCGGGGGGCACGATGGGGCTGGCTCCGTCTTCTTGTCCCTCTGTCCGGTGGACAGCAAGCCAGCGTGCCGTCACGCCAACAGCAGTCTACCAAACTACAGTCTACTAAACCACAGTCTACTAAACTACAGTCTACTAAACTACAGTCTACTAAACTACAGTCTACTAAACTACAGTCTACTAAACTACAGTCTACTAAACTACAGTGCTCTATATCATCTCCCCGCAAGAAATGTGGCCGAGGGCCGAGACGAGGTGCGGAGACGAGGTGTCGATGCCGCTCTCTGCGGGAGATCGCGGCCGCGGTGCTCAGACGATGCCGTCTTGGAGACGACGACGACGATGGTGGTGGTGATGGTGGTGACGATGGTGGTGGTGGTGATGATGGTGATGGTGGTAGTGGCAGCCGGCGGCTTATGGCGACAGGGCGGGCGGGTAACTCTCGTGGACTCTGCGCTGCTTCCTCCTCCTCCTACTCATCACCATCACCATCAACCAGCCCCCTCCTACTACTACTCACCATCAACCAGCCCCCTCCTCCTCATCACCACCACCATCAAGCAGCCCCCTCCTACTCCTCTTCCCCATCACGTGCCGCCCATCTCGCAGCCACGACACGCGTGTGCGTACGGGGGCCGTATTCTCGCGACTAGGACGCGCACTCTCTTCACCCCTCGTGTATAACGCAAAACGTTGGGGGTGGGGAGTGGTGCGCGTGTGTGCGTCTTGTACGAGGCCTCAAGGTGCACATGGCCTGGCACAAGCGTCGTGGTGACGTCACCGCCACTTAGTGGCGAATGGCGGTTGTTGTTGTTGTCTTGTATGATCTAATGTGCAACGTCTTCACGACAAGGGGACGCGTGTTTGCTGTGCGTCTTACTTCCCCCAGTCGTGCTCTAATCCAGAGTATACGGTAGCCGAGAGCGCACGTGGGTGCCCGCAGAGGGCGCTCCACTCGCGCGCACGGAATCTTGATTGAGAGTGGAAGAATCCGATGAGCTATAAAGCTCTTTTTAAAATAATAGATGTCCAGTTGGCTGCGGGTCAGAGGTACATCAACACACAATACAAAATCCGATAGGAGTGCAAAGTATAGGAAAGCTAAGCAAGTCACTAAAAATATATAAATTACAATAAGTACAAATTACATAACAGGGTGGTCCACATGTCTTGTGACCCCCCCTTTCATTATCTAAAACCTAATATTTGCGAAGGAAAGCAATAATTGGGCGTCACAATACATGTGGACCACCCTGTAAATTCATTCCTGCCGATGTTTCAACACCAAATGCAAACTTTGACCAGGGTCGAGCGGATGTCGCCGGCTAGTTGAGTCCGACCCTCGACTCACACGAGATAAGTTCAATCGCACAATGTTCCTGTGTGTACACGTTGCGCTTTCAGAATAGGCTCCAATATATTAATTATTAATACCCTACCAACATTTTGGCTGAATATAGTCCTTCCAGGACATGGTTGGAATGTACGTAACGGACTAGTAAGGGGTTGTCACGTAAATAGAACTTGCCAATTCGTCACTAGTTCAGCACACCGGTGTGTTGGAGAGCCAAGCCACAACATTTACAATCTGAGTACGACGTTTCGCCAGTAATTACAACTGTTGTAATTACAACAATTACAACAGTTGTAATTATGGGTGTGCTGTACAAGTGACGAATTGTCACGTTCTGTTTACGTAACAACCCTTACTGGTTGGCTGTGTCGGGTGGTGGCGGGTTTTAACGACACATTTATATATTTACGCGATCTAACCCAAAAATCTCTATTATGGATGATATTGGTCACGAAAGCCTACAACTTGTTAAACTGTAACTGGTGCTTCATATTCTTAGTTTTTTCGGTAAAGTCACGTTGAAGGGAAACAACAAAATAATAATATATATAACAAAAAATTCTCACGACGTTTCGACCATAACTCAAACGGTCGAAACGTCGTGAGAATTTTTTGTGTTATATATATATTTTATTATTTTGTTGTTTCCCTTCAACGTGACTTTACCGAAAAAACTAAGAATATGAATTACTGCAGTCACGAAAGCTTTCAATCAAAATGTAACTGGTGCTGTTTGTTGCTGCCTGTCGTATGGCTTATTTTTTTTTTTGGGGGGGGGGGGAGGGATCTGTCCTCAAGGTACCTTAATAGAAACACGTTGAGCCACGCTGTGTGATATGAATGCCGCCTGGTTTGCATAACCGGTTTTGTGTTTTTATATGGTTCTGATATCGCGCTGAGCATCTGAGCGGGTTTCCCACGGCTATCATCACGCGTGCACGTTGGGGGTGGGTGAGGGGCGCGGCAGGATCAGTCTCAATAAGCACCGTCGATTAGCACGGTTGGCTACGTACGGTGCGAAAGTTCAACATACATACGTCTGGGAAGTCCCTGAGCCTGGGTTGTCTATGGAACGGGGTGACATGCGTGCCATCTCAAGATAACCTGCATCTCAAGATGTCTTGGTTGATACACGGATTCTTCCGTCACTTCGGCTGCACTGCGCTGTTTACTTTCCTGCACGCCAACATCGAGCTCCTGCAGACTCTTTGTTAAATCTACTGCTGGACGAATGTTCCCCCACGTTGCGCAGGTGGTAGGGGCTTGTTTGGCCATACTTCACCCACCCAGGCGAGTCGGCGCGGATTCCCCAGTAGGACTCGTTGACTTGCCACGCCACCATTGACACACGTGGCCGGGAATTAAACTCAGGACACCAGGTGTATAGGTTCGTAGTTTCATGCACTAACGGATTGCATCCGGGTTATATTCTTAACCAATTCCACAATACAAGCAATTCCCCTCCTTCCCATATCTGTCCCTCCACGTAAAATGTTTGTTTTTTATCAGCAACGTGGCCTTCTCGGAATGCACAATTTCAGCAGCATTGGTACAACACAAGCAAGCACGGCCCTCTTTGAACCATTCGAGTCCTGTACATGGACTCGGCCTTTAACGAGTACCTGCATATACAATTACTCGAATAAACACTCAGCAGTCTGCGAGCTTGGCCCATTGTTGGTGACACTGGCTCGCCCTGCCTGGCTGCATTGCCGCTACGCGAGCGACAATTTGCATACAGGACGTTACGAAATATCTGTGCGGCGCTGCCACCACTCTTAGGGGCCGTCCATAAATGACGTCACGCACCTGGGGGCGGGGGTCAGACATTCGTGACGAGAACTGTGACGTTACGTAAAAATGCAGAACTTTAAATAAATATAAACACGTTCTACTTGAATTTTGATTTAAAGCTTTCGTGACTGCAGTAATTCATATTCTTAGTTTTTTCGGTAAAGTCACGTTGAAGAGAAACAACAAAATAACAAAATATATATAAAACAATAAAAAATTCTCACGTTTCGACCATAACTCAAACGGTCATCATCAGGTGTGTCGGTTTGCATAAATTTATTTTGAAAACGGCATATTTATTTTTATATATATAAAAATAACGTTTGCGTCACGCGCAACGATGGCAGTTTGCCAGGACTAGTCCATCTATTTTTTGAAAAGAGGAGGGGGGAGACGAAATTTGTTTTTATGTATGCTGTCTGAAAGGCACTGTAAGCGTGAACAATCAATCAAGAACTGAAATGATTTATCAAATCTTTCCAATGATTGCTAAGATAGAATCCATCTTCTCGGTTGAAATTGTCTCTGTGTTTGTATATGTGGATAGCCTCATGAACGAATCTCTCATGGAAGCCAGATGGCTTACAAAGAACCTCCGTCTTGGAAAAGTCAATGGCATGTGAGCCTACTGAATTAGAACAATGATCTGCTACGGCCGAGGTGTTGGTCCTACCGTGTTTAAGGTCTGCTTTATGTTCACGAATGCGGTCCGAGATATGGCGTTTGGTTTCTCCAATGTAACTACTACCACAGAGGCAACTTAGTTTGTAGACACCAGGGTATTGTATGTCCGGAATCACATCTTTTACAGACGGAACCAGATCACGGATTTTATGTAATGTGTTGAAACGGACCTGGATCTTGTGTTTATTCAAGATTTTGGAGATCTTTTTTGTGATCCCAGCAATGTAGGGTAAAGTGATGGTTTTGAAAGGCTCCTCAAGAGGGTTCTTCTTCATGGTTTGAGTGATAGCTTTGCGGATTGTATAGTCGGAGTAACCATTAGCCCTAAGAGCTTGGTGTACGTGCTTGAGTTCACTGCTTATGTGTTCCTGGTCGGATATGCATTGGGCTCTATGATACAGAGTCTTGATGAGAGAATTCTTCTGTGATGGATGGTGGTGGGAATCCGGTTTCAGATAAGCATCCGTATGGGTAGCTTTCCTGTAGACAGAGTGGCTCATTGAACCATCAGGTCTCTTTTTAATTAGGACATCCAAAAAAGGTATCTTGCCATCTATTTCGACTTCCATGGTAAATCTGATGGCTGGGTGTATGGAATTGATGTGGTCGAAGAATTTGTCTAGAGCAGGCCGGCCATGTGGCCAGATGACAAAAGTGTCATCCACGTACCTCTTCCATAAGGTTGGGCGCAGAGTGGCAGTCTGGATGGCGTCAGTCTCAAATTTCTCCATGAAAATGTTAGCTATAACTGGAGAAAGGGGGGAGCCCATTGGGGTGCCCTCAGTTTGTTTGTAGAAAGTTCCATTCCAAGTGAAGTATGTATTGGTTAAACAGTGTCTCACCAGGGGGGGTACCTCAGTGTTTAGTCCTTGATGAACCAAGTCTTCAATGATTGCAATGGTGTCAGGTACAGGAACCTTGGAGAATAAGGAAACTACATCAAACTGACAAGCAGGTCGTCTGGGGACAGGGAAATACCCTTGATTGTTGATACCAGGTGAGTAGAATTTTGTACCGCAGAGGTGGTCTTTCCAGTGAAAGGACGCAGGATTTCAGACAAAAAACGAGCTAGTTTGTAGGTGGGGGAGCTGATAGTAGAGACTATGGGACGAAGAGGTGTATCAACTTTATGTATTTTTGGTAAGCCGTATAATCTTGGTGGCCTGGCAGCAGAAAGTTCCAACGAAAACTGTTTAGATTGATCAATTAATGCGGTTGAATCAGAAATTATTTTGTTGGTTTGTGTGACGAGGCTGTTGGTGGGATCTCTTTTTATTTTTGTATAACTACCATCGTCGAGTAATTCTTTAATTTTGTTGTTGTATTCTATTTTATCCATGATAACAGTAGCATTGCCTTTGTCAGCTGAGAGAACTACAATATCATTCCTCTTTTTTAATTTATATAATTCAAAACGCTCATCTTTGCTGAGGTTGCTAGCTGGCATCTTAGCGTTTTTGAGGGTTGCAGCGATTTCAGATCTTGCTACGTCTGCAGCGATGTGACCCAGGCCCCTGAGAGCAACGTCTACTTGGGCAATTATATCATTAACTGGTATGTGTTTAGGTGTGACTGCAAAGTTTAGACCTTTAGCTAAAACGGATTTCAGACCATCGGAAATAGAACTGTTACTGCGATTAATTACGACTTTATTAACGTCTA